TAAGCTTTGAGTTTTTCTTTTTTTTCCGTCCTCACATCACACAAATCATCCTCCTTGACAGTTAACCACTTGTCCACTTTTCTTTCAAGAGAAAAGATAAAAGGTACTGTGATCTTCTCAAAGCCGTCACCTCTTTAAACCTGCTGGTGCTACAACACCATACAGTCTAGCGGTTGTCAATTTCAAACAGCTTAAGTGTTAAAACAGAACTGACTGATTCTGCACTTCCTATCAAATAAAACATTATGTCAAAAGCCTCCTTTGTCACTTAACGACATCACACTTTTATCCATTCGATGCTGAAATTTGCTTTCCAAAAAGACATTCTATCAGATGATTAAAACCAGCTTGTGATCTCTGAAAACAATTAACTAAATACAGTCTGTCTACTAAATATCGGTTTAATCTGTACATTACAGGTCAAGCTTTTCATTCACACTGAATGTGCAATTAAAAATCACATACAGCATGAGTCAAACTTCCATAGGGATTTCATCTTTCCATTCCCACACTTTCAGCCAATGCATAAAATGATTGACCATTCATAAAAATAACCACATGCAATCGTGTCCATTCATAGCACAATGATCATATACAGGGTTCCCACACTTTTTGACCAATAACTGATGTGACTTTAAGATGTTTTTATTACTGGATTTTTTTTTTTTTTTTTTGGATGAGGATTTTAAGCACAAATAACAATTTCTAGACAATTAAATATTTGAAATCTGAACATAAATAAGTACATATTTCTCAAAAAAGATTACAAGATGTCTTAAAGACTTTGTTAATATTCACAAGCTTTCTAGGCCTGGAAATCACCCGGATTCTCGGATTTCTAAGGCTGTGGGAGCCCTGTATATGCAAATTTTACACTTGGATTTTAGATCAAAATCATCTAAGTTTTTAGTCAAGAAAACTGAAACTAATGACAATGTATAGGAGCCATGGTGTGGCTGTTAGCGTATGTGCTCTGTCATGCTCATATGGGAGATGTGGGTTTGAGTTCATGCATCACTTTCCCATTCCTTCTCTCTCTTCCCATGATTTTCTATCTATTCTACACTGTCCCTGTAAATAAAAGTGGCAAAACCCCAAAATTTGAAAGAAAGCAGCGAAAATTAACAGAAAGTTATACAACAGTGATTATTTTTGAAATCCTAAAGCATTCCCAGCACAAATAAAGAACCACAAATGGCAGAAAAATTCATTTAGAAAGAGCGAGAAGCAGTAAGAAAATCTCATAACCAGCAAAACTGCTTTCTCAAGCTCAAATCTAATGCTGGAGAGTTTTCATCGAAAAACCACAAGTCCACACATGTCCCACAAGACACTGGCCTGAATGAAACTGCAATAATTGCTAATTACTTCAAGACCAGACCTCACTGCAGGAAGACAAAACTGTGTGTGTTCAAGCTGACAACAAAGGCAATATGAGTATACTAATTCAGTTTTAGACCACAGGAAATCAACGGGTGAGGTGACACTTTCTGATTGACCGACACTTGTCAAATAAGTTCCCATGTCCAAGACATCATCTCAGCAGTGATGACACTCTAAAATCACCACACTGACAACCCAAATACACTCTAATACAACATATTTTAAAATACAGACACAGGTCCTTTAATATATTCATGATAAAGGTCTTTTTGGGGACTCCTAGCCAGAGCCGGCGCCAGCGCAGCACTGATGAGGGGGCAGCTGAGGTGACGAAAGGGGGCGATGACATAGGCTAGCACAAAGTAAAAGTAAAAAAAAAAAAAACATGTGGCCCATTCACGTATTTGTCAGACCGTAAACAAACCTGCCCGCTACTACTACAACTATTAGAATACAGGGTTCACACAGATAGTGTTTTGGTCGCGAGAAAGGTCAGTGGAAGTTTTTTTTTTGGCAAGGTCTAGAGACATGTTTTAGAAGCTGAATTTCTTTGAACGCCGTGTTTTAGAATGATGCATTATGCACGAGAATTATACGCGAGAAGCTGCTATAAAGACCTGAGACGAGAGCGCAGCATTCAAGACGTCGAGTAGCGCATTTACATTGAAATACAATGGAAAAGTACAGCAGTGGAATGAAAAAACACGTTCTGAGTGAATGACCCTACTAAAAGCTACTTAGCAAATACAGATGGCAGAGTATTGAATAAAACAAAATCGCATAGCCACCAAATTCGAAAATCTGACATCCAGGAAATAAATGTCATCACAGGCAGCAGTTTTACCACAAATACAGACAAGTGATACCACCACAACCACCAGAATTACTTAATTGTGTCTGCTTTACAATGAAACACAAGCTCATTGCGACCGATTCCCTGACATAATACATTCATTGTGACCCATTTAACCGATGCATCATTTTAAGTTAGAAATACTTGAACAGCAACGAACAATACAGCGAAATAATTAGGCTAATTAACTACGATCATCTAGCCCTCTATCAAACATTTAAAAATGATTTTATCAAAGCTTACTCAGTAGTGCTGCATTCTTAGTTGCACCGCTTGCGCGGGAATTTGTGTCAGAGATATAACAATTCAAATGCGACTTTGTGAAATGGGCTGGCCTAAATTGTTGCTAGCATCATATTAATGCTAGAAAGCCTATGCATTTGGCAACTATATTTTTTAAATAAACCATTATATTTCATAATCTATTTTCACACTCATCTTGGGTGAGGGGGCGGGATAGTCTAATAGTCTGAGCGAGGGGGCCCGTCACGAATTCAAATGCGGCCCACCGTGCTGAACACAATTTTAAAAAATTACTTTCTGTTTTACAATTCATTTTAGTTTATACATTAATTTAAAAATGTATTAAATAAATATAAGCTATAGTCTAATGTTTTTATGTAAAATAATTTTGTTTTTCATATATTATTTTCAGACATGAGCAGTAGCCTACTCACATAGCCTAATTAACGTTACGCATTTAAAGTACCGACCAAGCGGCCAGCGGCAGACAGTGAGCATATGCTTGATCAATTTAGCCTTCTCAAATCATCACGACTTGACTAAAATAAAATCTATAGATATAAAACAGTTCAAGCATATAACAATGTTTAAACGTTAAACCTAGATAAATGTGCGCTATATCCAATAGTTTGTGCGGAGAGTGGAAGCTGAAGCACGCTTTGCAGGACATAGAGACGCCAGGAGAAGCCTAAAACAGGCCCGAGGCCCTGCTCGTGTCTGAACTATGACGTCAAAATTGTCCCGAAGCCCAGCCCGAGGGGCGTAAAAACGTCGGGGCCCGTCAGGCCTGGGCTGAAATGCAGGGCTCTAGCTCTGATCTAGCACACAGAAAACGATTTGACTGAAAATGTATCAGAAGAGATGAAAGAAAGAGAGTGGTCACCTAGCAATTCGGAAAAAGAGGCGGCTTTTCTGCATTAGGTATGTTTTTTTTGTTTTTTTTAACTCTTTGTACAGCAGTTATTGTTCATTCTAAATTTATTTTTTAATGTAGAATATGTGTTACATAAATACATGAAATGTAGAACATATAAAAAAGTGCTCAAAAATGATATGCGTGCAGCCCGCGAGACTTGCACTTGGACCATAGTGCGGCCCAGTAGAAAAAAAGGTTGAGAACCACTGGTTTAAAGGATTAGTTCACTTCCAGAATGAAAATTCTGTCATAATTTACTCACCCTCCACTTGTTCCAAACCTGTATGAGTTTCTTTCTTCTGTTGAACACAAAAGAAGATATTCTGAAAAATGTTATCCGAACAGCTGATGAGCATCATTGACTTCCATAGTATTTTTTTTTTCCTACTATGGAAGTCAATGGTGATCGGATACCAACATTTTTCTTTTTTTCCCCCCAACATTTTTATCATTATTAATATACAGGTTTGGAACAAGTGGAGAGTGAGAAAATTATGACAGAATTTTCATTCTGGAAGTGAACTACTCCTTTAAGGTGTGCTAAACATCCTTCTAGGATACTCTAAAATCTCCACATTAGGCCAAACACATTTCAATATGACATATTTCTAACATTTATAACTAAATCTGCAATATATTAATTAAAAAGGTATTTTGGAAGCTCTTAAATAGAGATATTCCCTCAGATGACCGTTGTTAGTGTACCGGCCATCATTTAAAGATCACTCAAACTCTATCTTTCCCTGTTTAGCAAGTTTCTCCATTTCAGACACCATCAAACGAAATAAACATACCCATAAATAAAACATTGTAAAATGACATTCAATACAGATAAATCTTTTCCTCAGGTCGACGGACCTCTCGTGCCACCACCATCTTCACTGAGATTCGCACGCAGCCAAAATCCTTATATAACAGTGAAAAAATAACCGCCACAAAGAAGAAGTCTCGCACGCGCTGGAACTTTTCACGCTGAGACGTCAATCATATTCTTTCGCGCGCTATACTGCTCTCGCTCGCTTGCGCTGGAACTTTTCAGACCGGAACGCCAATCATACTCTCTCCCGCGAGCGCACGGAATACAGAAACACAGTTCGTTCTTTTAACAACGGATGTTAACCATTCATTTTTTTATTTTCTTTTTTTTTTTCAGCTTACCTGACTAGCTGAAATCGGCTTTTAAACTTGTAAACGGGTATGTACCATATTTTACCATGCACTTTTATTTTAAAGCCAAAAAACTTGTGTACTCACCTTATTCCAATACAAAAATGAGACGTAGAAATCCTTCAAATTAGCTATATAGCAACTTTGCATGCATAAATAAATATTTACTGATGCAGAAATGTACTCTTTTTATCGATAGTCCACATATGAAGTTTATTCTTCGCATCTCTTAACTTCTGCGCGTGCTATACGTTTACTAAAGGCGGCATGTCGCGTTAATTAGACGCTAGAAATTCCGACAACTTTCTTGCACGAACTACAAGCGCTGTCAGAGACAACACAGCATCCGAGGAACAGAGCGTATCCGCCGCTTGTTAAAAGTCTGTCCGCGCGCTGTTTTCATTATAGAGATCCCCCCCCCTCATAAATAAAACTTACTTTTCCCTCGCTTGGCTGTCGGACGGTACGTTGTTACTCTTGCCTTTGGCGTACATGCTTGCAGAGAGCTCCGATTGTCACGCACCTGTCAACCCATCACAGCCTCCCCGGACACAACCCCGTCACCATGGTGACTACAGGAGCGATTGCTCTCATTGGACCGAGCACCGAGAAGGAACGCCCATTTTGTTGGGTAACTCAAGTGAGTGACAGTTACTCAGCCCCGCCCCAACAGAAACACAACCCCTTTCTTATCTCCAGCACTCTGTCTGTGGAACACACACACACACACACACACACACACACACACTTCGATTTACCCGGCACTGAGGGGAATTTGAAACCGTACTGAGAGGGATTTTAAACAACTGGCTGTTCCCCTCACAAGCAATCACACCCTCTACTGTCACTGGCCAAATTTAAAGTGAAATGGCAAATGTGGAGCGGATTCTTCAGCTTCTACTTGTACAGATGATTGAAGTAAGATTATGTGGGTCGTACAAAAAAAATACACATCTCTTCATGAAGTATAGAGATAATGGTTTTGCATAATGTTTGTTTTGTCTTCTAAAAAGTTGATGAATGTCACTACAGCAGTTTAGACAGAAAAATACTACCTAGAAATGGATAAATGACTGAGAGGTAATAAACATGCTGTTAATGTAAATAATAATTGATCTGATTACTTAGGGTGTATTCACACCCGGGGCCCGTTTCAATAAGGAGGTTCAACCAACTCTGAGTTAAAACTTGAACTCTGAGTTGACTTTGAGATGGATAACTCTTGAGTTTTCGGTTTCAGAACAGCTGAATTGAGTTAGTTCAATCGACTCTGAGTAGGTTGACTTTTAGGGCGTGCACCACGACTATGAAAAGCCATGATCAATGGAGCTCCGATTCACCATGGCAACAGCACCCGAGGTAGGTTATTGAATAGGCTATTCATTTTCATGGTATCCCACGGGCAAAAAAAAATATATAATAATAATAATATTATAAGTGCATTTTTCTGATTTTACAAATGATCTGCCAATAGGGTAAGAAAAATACAGCACCGGCTATTTACACTAAGTGGAATTAGCATACTTTCTTAGTGATAGATCCTATATTTACAGTAGGCTAAGTCCCAGCCAACATTGATATGTGGGCCCCATATGGGTTATACCCGGGCAGCATGGGTTCCGTGTGGGCATGGGCTGAAAATGGGCAATGTATGTGGGCCCCATGTGTGTTTCACAATGTGGGTCCCATATAGGTTTGAACATATGGGACCTTTATGGGATCTATGTGGGCATAGGCTGAAAATGTCTCTAGATGCTGTTTACACTTAGTGAAAATTGTGATATATTCTATTTACCATGTAAAAGTAGCAGTTCTTTGCAATAAGTGTAAATAATAAATAGATGCTATTTATACTGGCGGATACATACTATTTGCACCTCAGTATTGTTGTACATTAACCGGATGCAATAATAACATAGTGTAAATGATTATATTTATTAAAATTATAAATACTTTTATCATTATTAAACATTCGTTAGGCACTTTACTTCCACTTTTAGAGCATTTTCTTCATTTTTATTGAAAATAAATTCGAATGTGATATGTGATGGGAAAAGTGAGAAGAGCGAGCTCGGCAAAAGCCGGACTCGAACCCGGTGTTCTGTCAATTTGTGCTACCCTGTCAGATTTTGCTACCTCCCATTAAAACAGTGGGTAGTACAATTCGACAACGAAAAATGCTACCTGTCAAATTATGGTTTATTAATGTCTACACCTACCCCAACCCTAAACCTACCCTTACAGTAATGCAAATACAGTAATTATGTGTTATATTGGCAGTTGTGTCTAGAAGGGATACAGCTACCGGAAAGCAACAATAAAAATTTTTTCTACCTATTAGATTGTGTTAAATTAACGTCTACACCTACCCCAACCCTAAACCTACCCTTACAGTAATCCAGATACATTAAATATTGTTGTTCAGTATGAGAAAAAGGACGCAATATTGATGTGCGCATGCGCATTAAGCCCTGGTAGGAAAATCTGACGGGTAGGATAAAATGTCAGGACACCTGTTAATCACATCACAAGCTAGTTCTCCGCGGCCAACGCGTTACTGCCTACACCATTTAATGTGTTCATGCATGTTGTATTTAACCTTGTGTGACATTGGAGGGCGGAGCTACTGTAAATTTGCACTTAGTAATAGACACTCCGAATAATCTTGTTTTCCATTTGCATTAAGATTATTTTTATTACCACACTGGCAGATAATTTTACTTAAGTAAAATTTTACTTAAGATCCCCCCAGGAAACAAGACTAAATATCTTATATAATTTTCTTATATAGAAAATCCATCTTGATTTAAGAATTTTTAGATATTTGTACTAGCAATAAGAAAAAAAAATACTTAGTAAGAAAAGCATTTTACAGCATGCATGAATGAATGAAGTATTTAAACCGCTTGCGCTTTAAAAAGGGGGAGGAGACCGAAATAAACTCTGGGTTTACCGAAGAAAACCTGCTCCTGACCAATTTAGGTTCACAGAGTAAGTTACCATGGTAACTGACTCTGAGTAGTTACCTCCCTTTCAGAAACGGGCTTGACTTACCCTGCTTTCTCGGGTTTGACATACCTCCCATTCTGAAATGGAAAACCCAGTCCGCTAGTTCACTTGCTTTGTTCCTGGACCAAATACAATGTTGATTTTTTTTGTTTAGTGCGATTTGGTTTCACACTGCCCTTTTTTGAAAGTGAACCAGAAATTGTAAACAAAACCACACGTGTGCTAAGGTCATCCATTCATTGGGCAGAAATTCTCAAGCAGGGAAAAACAGGAAGTGCCGCATATCCAATCGTTTGTGCGGAGAGTGGAAGCTTAAGCACGCTTCAGGACATCAGTTGAAACAAATTAAATAGAGCGTCATTTTTGCTCATAAAGGTAATAATAATACATCATTCGGAACTGTAAAGGGTCTATTTTTATTTGTGTTATTCAAATCCAAAACAAAAACTCTTATTACTATGTAATCCGTAAAGATGCATTTCTTTCTAAAGGCGCAACCAATGATGAGATGGCGAGTCAGGATCATCAACTTCATAGCACACTGACTCATAGTTTATTAATAAATAATTCAAATATCTCCTTACTATTTCCCCGCAACATAGTCATGGTAATTTTTGCGGCAAGCTTAGCCTATTTAGCGCAGTCACGTTGCTGTGTGCCATGGTCACGAAAACTCATCATTTGCATGTGTTTTTAAGCATTGTGGTTTAAAAACAAGTGATTTAAGGATAAACGAGCTTGAGTTCTATTCAATCGAACCAAACAAGACAGGTGTGAATACACTGTGGGATTACAAATTTAAGAATCTGTTTAAAATATGCTGATCCTATGTTCTGACATAGCATGTCTCTGCTTCGACGAGGAAAAAGTTTCCTACAACACCCTTAGATTACTGAGATATTTTCAGACAAATGGGATTTACACAATGTCGAACTAAAGTAGAGGCTTAACTACTTTAATGGGGTCATATGATGCTGCTAAAAAGAACATTATTTTGTGTATTTGGTGTAATGAAATGTGTTTATGACTAGTTGGTTGGTTAGATCATTCCATACTATACAAGTTTTAAATGTATTTTTTAATGTATAAAATCATATAAAAGTATAACACATATTTTTCAGATAACAAAAATTCTGTAAAATATTGTAAATAATACAAGTAACCCCCTTAAGTCCTAGACCATACTTTTTGTTGTCAATGTACTGTTAGCTACTGTAATATTCAACCTGTTATATTTGAAGCTAAGATCATATAAAGACACTGTAAGACCCTTAAGGGTCCTTGTTTTATTCTCTGCCCTCTTACTACTAAAAAGTCTTTATAAATAGCCTACACTATGGATCGAAATGTGGATTCACTGCATCATCAGATGCAGTTTTTGGTCAGAAATGAGCATTTAAAAATGCAGTGGCTACTAGAAATGCGTCAAATCTTTAGTTTGGTAGAAAGTCCCTCGTTGTGGACGCTGATCTTTTCGGTTGTGTATATTATTTTGGCGAGTGTTTTAACTGCTCTCTGTCCTCTAATGTCTGCGTTGTGCTTTTTTTCCCCGAAAGTGGGCGGCTTGAAACCGCCTGTGCTACTGGCTGTTCCGTTTCACCCCCTCCGCGCTCAGGATCCCGGAAGTAGCCGTGTGAGATCATGGTAAGACAGAGCGATAAAGCAGTTTGCGCTGGTGTGGATGTTCTTTCTGACAGCTCCGAGTCATGCAGCAGCAATGTAAAATGTCAGGCAGCCGGCGTTTTAGAAATTACAACAATGTCAAAAAACGTGCAATGCAGTTACCACAGCAACGTTGCTGCATACTTTATAAATAAGTGCTCTCGAGTGCTGCACGGTTGAAGCGCCACGAGAGCTGATGCTCAAACTGTTGTTCCGTGCTTTATGTTGATCTGCGCTGTAGTATATTCGAGCTCAGCTCCATTAAGACGCCATATAACGCTTTATGTAACGTCAATATCAGTAAAGGGTGCTCCCTGGCAACATGTCTTAAGATTCCTGATCTGATTCAGGCTGTGAAGTTTCAGGAGGTTGTCGTCGTAACTGAGATGTCAATGCAATGAAATATTGATATTTGTAAGTTTAATGTGATTTGTGTCATTTTTAGATGTTAAAATACTTCCTATCAAAATGTAATAACCAGAGATAACTGCATATTAAAATGGATGTTTATATGTAGATCATTCATAGGTTAAATAGTGGAAATACTATAATTTAGTGGCTTTAAGTAGGCTATTCAATTTTTTGTTCGAGTATCCTGACCAGTCCAACACTGACTCAACCAATGGTGTGAGTTTGGGGTGGGACTACTGTCTGACCAATGGCAGCTGGTGCATGTATGTGGGGAAAACCTGTGTGAATACAGTCAGTGTTTCTGAGGGTGTTTATGCTACACCATTTTCAACTAAAAATAGAAAACTTCTGTTCGTTTTCGCCATTAATTTACACAACAACATCAACGTCTGAAAACGCAAACTTTTGAAAACAACTTTTTGATAACAACAATGTTTATCTCTGTGGCTATGTTCACATTGCAAGCATTAGTGCTCAATTCCGATTTATTGCTCAATATGGCTATTCACATTATAATTTTTAAATGTGGCCAATATCAGATTCCAGTGTGAACGAATGACGGTCCTGAACTGAGCCACATGTGCAAAAGTACAATAACAAGATGGCATGAAGCGTGCTGTCATACTGAATTAAACATAGAAGCCACTGAAGTAAGCGTTTACACGTTAATTTATAAGCGGAAGCCAGCGAATTCATGAGTAGGCGATAAGCAGGACGAAGATGAGGAGAAAGAGCAATATTTTTTTTTTTATATTTACGGTACAACCCAGTAAGTTTAGCTTGTTTCAGAATCGAAAAGATCAGACTTCATGTTTGTGCTGTTCACACTGTCATGAAACTAAACGATATGAGTCACATATGAGCAAAAAAATCGAATTTGGGCCACATTTTCCTGCAGTGTGAGCATAGCGCGTGTAAACTACAAAAACGCAAATTTGTGGTAAGGGTTAGGGCTGCACGATTAATCGAATGTGATTGTCATGCGCATTTTGTTAGTAAAGCCGGTTCTGTAATCAGCAGTAAATCATCATCACGTGCTTTTCTCGATTCCATTTCGATTTATCGTGCAGCCCTAGTAAGGGTGATGTCGTGCGCATGCATATTGCATGTTTGCGTAGTGTTTCTCTCCAAAATGAGATCGCTAACTACTGGCCTGACGAGCATAATACAGCATTTTATATGTGTGAATGGGGATCGTTTTGACAACATGGTCATCTGTACATGAAAAACACGTTTTTAGCACATCGTTGTCATGTAAATGTAGGCTACCCTAAAATTGTTATGAATGAATGAATGATGCATTTATATAGCACTTTTATTGTGTATTGTTGTACACCCAAAGTGCTTTACAATCATGTTGTGGGGGGGGGGGGGACCTCTC